CATCTGGTGTGTGCCTGGGACCGCAGGAGGACGCGGACGCGGAGCACGACCACTAGTGCGAGCAGCACAAACAGGCGACGCAGGTTGAGATGCAGGCTCACGATGCTCAGTAAGACCTCCAGTAGGACCAGTGTAGGGAGAAGGAGCAGGTAGAGGGGAGGCGGGCTGTAACTGTGACTGTGACTGGACAGGCTGTGGACACTCTAAGGAAGGAGAAGGACCAGGAGAGGGCTGGAGACCAAGAACCTGCTCCAGGAGCGGAACGAAGTACGGCCTCGGCCGCTCAGCGCCTCCAGAACTAGTAAGGACGGCACCAGTACCCCCAGCGGAAGCAGCACCTCCAGCTCCACCAGCGCCAACTCCAGCACCCTCAGAAGCACCAGCGCCATCAGCACCACCAGCGCCAACACCCTTAGCAGCTCCAGCTCCTGCAGCACCAACTCCAGTAGGACGGTCAGCTCCAGCAGCCTCAACAGCACCCCCAGATGCACCAGCACCAGTAGAAACACCAGCGCCAACACCCCCAGCTGCTCCAGCTCTAGCAGCAGTAGTACCTCTAGCAGCTCTAGCAGGACCAACTCCATTAGCTCCAGCAGCACCCCCAGTCTCAGCAGCACGTCTCCAGCGGCAGGCAAACCATTCGCGCAGCTCCTGTGGAGAGAGTGGCTCCCGCCTCGACGAAGCACCGCCGGCGGCCACACGAGCAGACCCAGCGCCCTTAGGCTCGGCACCCCCAGGCTCCGCACCTCCAGGCTCCGCACCCGCAGACCCGGCACCCCCAGGCTCAGCACCCCAAGACTCAGCACCCCCAGTCTGTGCACCCCCAGTCTCAGCACCCCCAGCCTCAGCACCTCTAGCAGCACCAGAGTCAACAGCTACCTCGACAGGCTCGACTGCGTCTACCTGGGACACACCTGACGGGGCAGGACCCTGAGGGGGGAGGGGGTCTACCACGGGAGGACCTGGTGCAAGGAAGAGCGGCGGCGGGGGGAGAGGCGCAGTGCGGTAGGGGAAGAGACGGTAGTAAGGCACTGACTCATCAAAGGTGACGTCCTGGGAGGACAGAACACGGCGCGTGGTGGGGTGGTAAAAATGCCAGCCAGGCGCGTCGGGGGGGAAGCCAAGGAAGATGCAGGGAACAGCACGGGGAGACAGCCCATCCGCAGACAAGTCGCGGACAAACGCCCGAGATCCCCAGACCCGAAACGCAGACGCATCGCCAACCTTCCCGGTCCACCGCAAGGTGGGGGAGGTCTGTGGCAAGGAGACCCGGGGCTACAGGTTGAGCTGATGCGCGGCGTACTGAATTGCAAACGGCCACAGAAAATGGGGGGCAGCCGCATGCATCATGGACGTACGAGCGACGTCCATGACCATGCCAATGCGGCGCTCAGCAATCCCATTTTGCTATGGAGAGGCTGGAAGCGTGAAGGTCTGGCGGATACCCTATGCACGAAAGAAATCTCCCAGACGGGCAGAGGAAAACTCCCCGCCTCTGTCCGAGTGCAGACGCAGAACAGGAAAGTCCGAGCCGAAACTCTCTCTGAGCTGGAGACGAGTTGCGCGGATCCAGTCGATCAACACCTCAGTGACGTCACCCTTGCTGCGCAAGGGGAAGACTATGGTGTAACGCGAGTAGTCGTCAACCACGAGCAGGAAGTTCCGCTCGCGCCCCTGCCCACTGACGCGGGCTGGGCCCCACACGTCCATGTGGAGAGTCTGCAGCGGAGCCTCTGTCGGAGGAAACTCGGAGGAGTGAGGGGCGGCGCGCTGTCGCCCCTCGACGCAGGGGACGCAGGAAGGGCCAGGCCCCGGAGTCAATGGTGAAGGTGTGGAAGGCCTGAGCCAACGTAGTGCCTGAGAGAGCAGACTCACCAGCACCTGGGGCACCAGACGCACTGGCACCTGGGGTAGCAGACGCACTAGCACCTAGATCAGCAGCCTCACCAGCACCTAGAGCAGCAGCCTCAATGCCCGGGTCTGGCGGAACACACAGGTAATAGTCACCCTCATCACTAGTAGGCAATGCATGCATGGCACTGAGGATAGCATCTTTGTCAAGAGAATAGATATCGACCCGCATCCGAAGCAGCTCCACCCAGTCGGGGAGCTCAACCGCGTCGCCAAACTCCGTACGCCAGGCGTCGCTTAGACGTGCGAAGCAGTAGGACGGTGCGTGACCGAACGTCCCGCTAGGCTGACCAGTCCGAGCACTAGTGCGAATGACGTACGGACAGTGAGCAGTACCCCGTGTCCCGTCACGCTGCGCGTACCACTCACGAAGCTATTGGGGCGAGAGGACCACTCGTTGACGACGGTGAGGCTGCACCTGGTCACTACAAGTAGCTGCCAAACCACTCACTCCATGACGACTCCGACTACGGCCACCTCAACAACCCCAACTAGCGTACCACTCACGAAGTTGTTGGGGGGTGAGGGACTCACGCGGGCGACGTTGGAGCTGCATCTGGCCACGCCAGGAGCAGCAGTATCAGTAGAGAGAGCAGCAGTAGTAATTGCAGCAGTAAGAGCAGTACGGGCAGGGCAGTGCTCACCAGTGGCGAGAAGGGCAGGCGGACGACGACGGCAACGACAACGCCACTACCACTGTAGAGCAAGAGCTCCGCGGCTGCTGCAGTGGCGGCTGCTCCAGGGGCTGCTGCTGCAGTGGCGGCTGCTCCAGGGGCGGCTACTGCAGTGGAGGCTGCTCGAGGGGCGGCTGCTGCAGTGGTGGCTGCTCCAGGGGCGGTTGCTGCAATGGCGGCTGCTCTAGGGGCGGCTGCTGCAGTGGCGGCTGCTCCAGGGGCGGTTGCTGCAGTGGCGGCTGCTCCAGGGGCGGCTACAGCAGCGAATGCTGCTTCAGGGGCGGCTGCAGCAGTGGCGGCTGCTCCAGGGGCGGCTGCTGCAGCTGGGCGGCTCGGCTCCCCGCCAGGGGCGGCGACGGGGCCAGGAAGGGGCAGCGACGGGGCCGCTAGGGGTGGCGACGGGGCCGCGTATGAAGAGGAGCAGCGACGGGGCCGCTAGGGGCGGCGACGTGGCCGCGTAGGGGCGGCGACGGGGCCGCTAAGGGCGGCCGCTGGACCGCGTAGGGGCGGCGACGGGGCCACGTAGGGAAGAGAGCGGCGACGGGGCCGCTAGGGGCGGCGACGAGGCCGCGTAGGGGCGGCGACGGAGCCGCGTAGGGGCGGCGACGGGGCCGCGTAGGGAAGGGAGCGGCGACGGGGCCGTGTGGGGCGGCGATGGGGCCGCCTAGGGGCGGCGACGAGGCCGCTAGGGGCGGCGATTGGGCCGCCAGGGGCAGCGCAGAGGCCGCGTAGGGGCGGCATCGGGGCCGCTAGGGGCCGCGAGGGGCCTAGAAGGGCGGCAACGGGGCCGTGTAGGGCCGGCAACGGGGCCGCTAGGGGCCGCGAGAGGCCTGGAAGGTCGGCAACGGGGCCGCGTAGGGGCGGCAACGGGGCCGCGTAGGGGCGGCAACGGGGCCGCGTAGGGGCGGCAACGGGGCCGCTAGGGGCCGCGAGGGGCCTGGAAGGGCGGCAACGGAGCCGTGTAGGTGCGGCAACGGGGCCGCGAGGGGCCTGGAAGGGCAGCGACGAGGCCGCTAGGGGCGGCGCGAGGGGCCTCTACGAGAGCTCGACAGAAGGGCGGCCCACAAGGCGCGCCTCGGGCAGGAGCGACTGGCGTTTCGGTCAGAAAAAGTTTCCAGTGGTGGGCCCAAGGAATCCTTCCCACTAGGGAACCTGCTCTGATACCATGTGAAGATTAGAACGTGAGGAATGATTGAACTATGAAACAATTGGGTATAAGTACTAACCCTAATTGGGTTGTTCCCCTTATAGGCTACCCCACTACAGCCTACACAAATGTATAAGCTATAATGTTTTGACACCTACTTGCTTCATCCATGACGAGTGACTCCTAGTGTGTTTCACTTCGCGCCTGGCGTAGTTCGGCGTTTTCCACCCTCAGGCGCTCCAGCTCGCCATACATAGTATACATGCTGGATTGCATCGCCCGAGTTCTGCATAAATGCGTCAAACTCTGCTTGATTCATGTTTTGGAAACTCATCCTAACGGGTAGTGGGTTAACTGCGATTTTTCTGACTTTGATGAAGACGCAAATGCTATTAGTCGGAGTGAGATTATCGTACGGTATCTATCTCTCAGCCGACGCTTTGCAGCCCACCAAGTCTATTGCACCCCTGCACTAAACTACCCCGGAAAGTGGAGGGTAACCTAGGAAAGTAGCTCTGATACCAAGTGTCATGAGTTGTATGAAAGAAGAGTGCGCATAATGCAATATCGCATGATTCCAACTACTAAGAAAACAACGAGGCCTAGGCATAATGTAGCAAGGCTAGCTAGGCCGAAGTCGCGGAGTCGCGCGATGGTTGGGTGCAGGTCTGGGGTTGGGAAACCCGAAGGCGACCCGAGGGACGTTTGGAAGGCGAGGTCGTGGGACCGAGCCTGAACTCCGAAAAGTTGGAATTGTACGCGCACGGAGTGCCTCAATAAGGAATTAAGAAAATTCCTTACACTAGTGGATCGCTGTTTCAGGCTGAAGTCAAGTCTGTAACGCGTGAAGCAGTCACGAATGTCGTTTGCCGCGCTGCACGTTCCTCTTGTAATATTCACCTACCTGGGCGAAAATATCAGTAACCAATTTCCAGGCACCCTTGCCGTGGCGAAAGCAATTCAACCAACTTTTCGTGCAAAGCAAACGCATTCGACAACATACCTCACCTGAAGACTTGAGGTCGCTCACTCTGGTGTATTTGCTGTGGTGCGAGAGTAGAAAAACTCGTGCTGTAGTCGAAGCAAAGGCGATGCATTTGTCCAATGAACGAATTTCCTCTCACCGCTTGCAACCCTACACCTTCTTAGTGAGCACTGTTGGCCTTCGCCCGTGTCCTGATAGAATCATGCGGCTTCAGATTCCTCCCCGCCGCACCGTCGTGCGTCGATAACGCGAATCCCTTCACATCATCCCCAGATTCCAACGGATGGGGTTCGCCGGAGTGGCGTTTCAGCCGCGCGCGGCGGCGCTGGCGGAGCTGCAGCACTGCCCGCAGTTCCACGACGCCATCCTGACGCTCCCCGACGCCGCCATGTTCTCCGCGCCCGCATGCCTCCTCTACGCGCGCAGCAAGTGGTTCCGCCGCGCGTGGGAGGACGCGCCGGGGAGCGGCTTTGGGAAATGCGTGGAGATCACGATTCCGCCTGTACCTGGGGGAACGGAGGCGTTCGAGAGCATTCTACAGTACTGTTACGGGCTGCCTGTTAACGCGGATGCTACTAACGCGTTGCAGCTGCTGTGCTGCGCAGCGTTCTTCGAGATGTGTGAGGGGAGCGAGGAGGATTCGTTGCAGCGACAGGCGTGGAGGTACATTAACGAGTATGTTCTTAACGAGTGGGAGGACAGCCTGCGGCTGCTGGAGACAGTAGCGAGGGACGAGCTTGTAATGAGGGAGGCTCTGAAGCTCGACCTCCCGCTGCACGCGTCAGCATGTGTGGCAGGCACGTGCGCCGTCCCATCCACCCTCACCCGCCCGCCTGCTCACTCCATTCGTTTCCCCCACCACCCCTCTCGCCCTCCCCTTCCCGCCTTTCCCCCCCCCTCCCCCCCCTTCCTCCTCGTCGTCTGTGCTTTAACCCCTTCATCTTTTCATACAGTGAGCGCCCTTCCAACGCTCCGCAACCGCCCCCTGCTTGCTCTCATCGCCTGCCTGCCACCCCATCACCACGTCATACCTGTCCGCTCGCATGGTCGTGCTTATGTCTCCCCTACACCACCCCCACACCACCCCTGCACCACCCCCGCGCCACCCCACCACACCACTGGCCCACGAGCAGACCATCTGAGCGCCATGCTGTCGGGTCCCTTCGACAGCCCCACGCGCATGGCGGCGCTGCACCACCTGCTGGCGCGCCTCGCCGCCCTGCCCGCGCCCGTGCTGTCATGCGTGCTGCAGGCGTGCCAGCAGGCGGGTGTGAGCTTCGTGCGCATCGGCAACTACCTCGCTGCCCACTCCCACTCCTGCCTCTTCCAACACATCCCCTCCCTCGCTGCCGCTGCCGCTGCCACCTCTGCTGCTGCTGCTGCTGCTGGTTGGGATGGCGATGTTGCAGGAGAAAAAGAGGCAGCAGCAGCAGGAGCAGCAGGAGCAGCAGGGGCAGGGGCAGGGGCAGGGGCAGGGGCAGGAGGTGGCGAAGAAGCTTCATCCGTTGGTCTTTCAAGCAGTGGTGGTGCAGAAAGGAGGGTGGCGAGCGGAGGGGGAGGGGGATACAAGGTGGTGTGTGGGGAGGAGGCGGCAGAGGAGGCAGAGGAGAGGGAGGAGGTGGGGCGGGCGATGCTGTTTGAGTATGCGTGCAGTGAGGCGCTAGAGCACGCTGCGGCGATGCAGGAGCTGCACCACCGTCCGCCAGCAGCAGCAGCAGCAGCAGCAGCAGTGGGTGGGGGAAGAGGAGGTGTGGGCGGAGAAGGTGACGCCTCTGCCCCGTTCCCTTCAGCTGCATCGGCGTCTGCAGCGGCAGCGCAGCAGCAGCAGGCGTTGAGGCGGCAGCAGCAGGGGGGGCTGAGGTCCAGCACGCGCTACATGCCATCGGTGCAGTACCTGATCGTGCTGCTCAAGCACTGTGTCACTCTACAGGAAGGTCTCGCACTCACGGATGCTCACGGGCAGGGGCAGGGCGGTCAAGTGGGCGGTGTTGGTAAGACGAGAAGCTCAGCCTCGTTACAAGGGGACTCGATACAAGGAAATGAAGGGCCAAGACATCCGGTGAACAGCAGGGGGGTTCAAAGGGCATCGTTGGTGCAGCGGGTGGGAGGCAGGGGCGTGAGGGGGGGTGCGGGCGCTGTGTCCACGGGGCTGAGGGAAACCAAGAGCGACAGCGACGTGGCCTCCAGTGAGCGGGCGAGTGCGAGCAGGAAGGGCGAGGGCATGGGGGAGAGCGTGCGGGTGGGCGTGGGGCGGCGCAAGGAGCTGCTGTTCACACGGCTGGCACACCGCCTGACGGCCATGCCCACAGCGCTGTCCCTGGCGGACCTCGTCTTCCTGGGCCCCGCCACCAGCCTGCTGCTCCTCCACTCCCTCCGCGACGCCTCCCTCTCCCATGCCAACCACCCCTCCATCCCACCCCTGCCCCCCCATGCTGGAGGCCCCCTGCCCCCGCTGCCATCGCAACCACAGCCAGCGCCCACCGCCAGCACCGTTAATGGCACTAGCACCAGCATCACCAGCAGCAGCAGCAGCAGCCGGCGTATGGCGGTGCGGGTGGTGGGGTCCCCTGCAGCAGCGCTGGGCGGCGATCTGGTGTGCGACTACGTGCACTACCTGGCAGCGCGCATGACGCACCAATCACAGCACCACACGTGGCTGCCCTTCCTGCGCCTGTGCCCCGCGTGGCCGGGCCTGTCGAGCTTTCTGATCGACCTCATCACGCTGCTCAACCTGCTCTTCCCCGACGCCCGCCACCTCCCCCCCGTGCCCGAGCTGTGGAGCATGGTGGACGTCAGCGCGCTGTCCGACGACAAGCTCGCCCTCGCCGGGAAGATGTGCTGCGAGGGGGAGGGTCAGGGCGGAGATGCGGGAGGGGATGGTGGGGAGAGGGGTGGCAGCTGGGGAGGGGGGTGGGGTGGGAGAGGGAGGGAGCAAGGGAGGGGGTGGTGGAGCGAGGGGAGGGTGTTGGCGCAGCAGGTGGAGAGGGAGCAGCGGGCAAGGGGTGTGAGGGCCGAGGGGGAGAGGGGGCGGGAGGAGGAGAGGGGGAAAGAAGGGGGGATGCGGGGGGAGGTGGAGAGGGAGCGGCGGGGGCGGCAGGAGAGGGCGCTGCAGCAGGCGGCGTTGGAGGTGGAGAGTGTGCGCGCCGCCAGCACCCGCCTCGCCCTGGAGACCGCGCAGGTGAGGTCCGGGGCTGGGTGAGTGAGTGAGTGGTGCAGTCGATGCTGGTGTGGCCAAGGCACATGTGCTGTCATCTGCCCAACCCTGTGCCATGCCCGGCATTGGCCTGACCCATGCCCGGCGTTGGCCTGACCCATGCCCGGCGTTGGCCTGACCCATGCCCGGCGTTGGCCTGACCCATGCCCGGCGTTGGCCTGACCCATGCCCGGCGTTGGCCTGACCCATGCCCGGCGTTGGCCTGACCCATGCCCGGCGTTGGCCTGACCCATGCCCGGCATTGGCCTGACCCATGCCCGGCATTGGCCTGACCCATGCCCGGCATTCGCCTGACCCATGCCCGGCATTGGCCTGACCCATGCCCGGCATTGGCCTGACCCATGCCCGGCATTGGCCTGACCCATGCCCGGCGTTGGCCTGACCCATGCCCGGCGTTGGCCTGACCCATGCCCGGCATTGGCCTGACCCATGCCCGGCATTGGCCTGACCCATGCCCGGCGTTGGCCTGACCCATGCCCGGCATTGGCCTGACCCATGCCTGGCATTGGCCTGACCCATGCCGCGGGGACATTTTCCACCATTTGGGCGCCGACCCGCCATCACACCTCATGACTGCCCCCAGGGCATGCCATTGCACCCCATGCTTTGGGGAGCCCTTCACATTGGGCCTGGAGTGGTCCCCCATGTTAATTCCTACCTACCACCCCCCGTTCCTCCCCCATGTGACCCCACGCACACAGCATGACATGGCATGGCATGCATCCCATGCCGCTGGGGGACGGTCCACCAGTGCAGGTGGACCTGGATGTCACTTTCACCTCACCCTTTTAAACCCTCTCGCTTCTCGCTTCCGCGCTCCCTCCACTCACCTCCCCACAGGGCATGGCATCGCACCCGTGCCCCTGGGAGGCATTCCAGCAGCGCAGCATGCGGATATGATGGTGGACGCATGCAGGAGTGGAACCGGCATCTCACCTCTACCTACCCACAACCTGCCCTTCTCCCATCCACGTGATCCCAGGGCAGGGCGTCGGACGCGTGTCCATGGGAGACGCTACAGCAGCGCGGGCTGGAGGCCGACATGGTGGTGGACATCGATGGGGTCACATGGCCACTGCACCGCCACGTGCTCCTCCCGCACTGCCCCCTCATCCACTCCCTCCTCCCCGCCGCCACCGCTGCTGCCAGCGCCAGCGCGTGTGAGGGGGAGCAGGGCGTGATGCCGCTGGCGCTGGCCACGGGGCTGCCCATCGTGGCGCTCACCGGCTTCCCCGGGGGTCCGCGCTCCTTCTCCATCATCGCCCGCTGGTGCTACGGCTCGCGCCCCAACCTCTCGCCCAGCCAGGCCGCTGCTGTGCTCTTCGCTGCTCGCTTCCTCGGTGTGTGCCACCCTCTCGGTATCTTGATGATTTTTTATCTAGCATATATATATATGTATATACATATATGTATGTATATATATTTTTTGTTTCCCTTTCCGTCTTCCTTTCTTTCTTTCTTATCGAAAGCTTTCTTCCGCATGCCTCAACGGCTGCGAGAGCCATAGCATCATGGGGCGCACGTTCATGCCTTACTCTCCTTCCGACCCACCCTCCTCTGCCTTCCCTTGCATCCTTGACGGGTGTATGGTACGGGCAGGCATGGAGGACCGCGGCAGTGAGGCGCTGATACCGGTGGCGGTGCGCGCGGTGAAGGGCGGGCTGGCGGAGGGGTGGCAGGCGTGCTTTGACATCCTGGAACGCTGCTACCACGACCGCGTGCTGGACGCGCTGGTCGTCGAGTTCAGCCTCAACCGCCACTTCGTTGACTCCGCTGCCAGTCAGTGCTGTGCCGCCCCTGGGGGCGCTGAAACGTGAAATCATGTGTGGGGATTCCACTGTGGGGCTTCAAGGGAGGATTGGTGCCGGAGTTTCGTGCTGTGCTGGTGACTAGTGTTTGGGCTGCAGTCGTTCTCATCTCCATCTCCTTCTCCCTCCTCCTCTCGCACCTCCCTTTGGTACTCTTCCCTCCGCCCCTCCACTCTCTCACACTCTTCCTGTTCCCTTCTCAACCTGCACTGCACCCAGTGCTCCTCCTCCCCTCTTCCGTGCTGGTCCTTCACCACACACCGCTTTCCATTCCCCCTTGTCTACTTCTCCCATCACTCATCCCTGCCCTACTTCGCCTGCGACAGGCAGCCATATTAAAGCCGTAGTCCCACTCCCCCTTGTCCTCTCGCACCCCTCATCTCACCCGCCACTCCCCCCTCCCTCCATCCACTCTGCGCCAGGCGCAATTCTGAAGCTGGAGTCGAAGCTGGTGGGGGACGGGCGGTGGGGCAATGATGACTGGGCGACGGTGAATCGTCTCTTAGAGGGCATGAGCAAGCTGCCCCCAGACATCAGCCGCCGCGTGGTGCAGCAGCTCTGGGACCTGCGCCACTCCCACTGGGCCACCGTGTGCCCTGCACCCTGCTGTGAGGCGGGGGAGGAGCACGCGGGCATCAAGGCGATGGCGACGGTGGGGAGCTTCCTGCTGGGCATCACTCTGTTGAGTAAGATGGAGTGGCGCAGGCAGCACGACGACGAGGAGGAGAAGACGAGGAAGAAAGGCGGGCAGGGGTCAGCAGGTAGCAGCAGCAGCCCGAGCCACGCAGGCAACTCTCCATGGGCCCAGGCACCGAGCAGCAGTGTGAGGAGCAGGGCACAGCCACCATACGACAACATCCTCTGGATGCTGCGCGTGCTCAAGCTCTTCATCTCGCCGCCCTTCGATCGCCCCATCCTGCTCGTGCTCAGCAACAACACGCCCCTCCTTGAAACCCACCACCTGCACTTCCTCGACCTCTCCTCCTGCCTCGCCCTCCTCACGCTCGTCTCCGCCGCCCCGCGCCAAGACTCCCACCTGGTGGCCACTGCTGATCTCCTCGACGTCTACCTCGCAACGCAAGGCACCAAGCGCAACCCGCCGCTGAGCCCCGAGGATTTCCGTGCGCTTGTGACGCGCCTGCCGCCCGAGGCGCGGCCGACGCACGACGGGTTGTTTGAGGCGGTGTGTGCGTTCGCCGAGGCGGACCTGCGGCCCGCCACGTGGAACCTGCTGGCCCTCGTGGACTGCGGGCGCCTCACCCCGCGCTGCCTGCGCCTCGCTGCGTCGGCCGCGGCGTCCATGGAGTTTGGGCAGTCCGCTGTGGCGGGCTTCTGGCTGTTCCTCGTCTCGCTCTTGCGCGCTCTCATGTATGAAGGGTAGTGTGTGGATAAATTATGTAATGCATTAGTTGTTGTATTATGTTATTGTTAATGCAGCTTCTGGGTTTCAAATCACAAGAGCACTTGTGCAAGTGTGTTACGAGAATTGCACTATCGAAGCAAGAGTACAATGAGCGAAGGCATGAGCGAAGACTATATAGCGAAACTACAGTGGTAACGGTAACGAACTGTGGGTGACGCGCGACGGGCCTGGAACCGAGGTTTGGGAAAATGTCGAGGCGGAGGCCCGGAGCGCGGGTTACCCGCCGAGCCGTGAGGTCGGGGTGCGACGTGTGAAGGTGGCGGGAGAATTGTCGATGCGAGGGTGGTAAAGGTGCTGACTGCAGTGCTAGAGTGATGTACGCGCTGAGCAGGGGCGCGAAGTATGGAAGAGGGATTTTCCTTACTAAGCGCAAGAGGCTTCACTAGTTGGAGGTCCCCACCAGGCCTGTCGAAGTTCCTGGGACCCATACTTGCGCTCCCCAGCTCCTCCCCATCTGACCCTGTTTTTGGTGTAGCTGAGCGTTTGGGCGCCCTTAATGGTCACGGGCGCACCCCAAAGTGAAAACTTAAAATCCGGGCCTGTGAAGAGTTTGCACTTAGACGCGAAGGGAAATTTTGGGTGCTCTAAAGCTGACTTTCAAACACGGGATGGCTAGAAAACGCTAAGGGAAAAATCCATTCCTCTCGTGCAGCCCGAGGAGGAAAGGGGGGGGGGGGGGGCACTAGACAATAAGGGACAATTCGGGTGCTCCAAGCTGACTTGGACGCTTTACAAACACAGGATTGGCTAGAAAACGCTAAGGGAAAAATCCACTCCTCTCGTGCAACCTACGGAGAAAGGGGGCGGGGTCAGGCAGAATTTGGGGGGGTGGTGAGTCCTACAACCAGAAACCAAAACTTCGAGACAGGGGAAGGCCCTGTTTGGGCCCTTAACGCATCCGGGGAGGGTCGAGCGCGGCACTTAGTGGCACGGGTGCAGTGCGAATCTAACACTTTTGGCAGTCGAGCTGGAGCGAAAGTAGCTCGGAATGTTCAGGGCATTAAGGGCATACGCCCTTGAATCGACAGGCCTGGTCCCCACCCCAGTCAAATAGCGGTAGCACCTATCTTTCAAATTTGAATGCACTCGCGGATGCTTCACAGGAGCACCAGCAAGCGTCTTGCGCACAACTTCCCAACTTGTACTGTGGAGTTGCACGCGGCGCACGGTTCAGAAACCAGCGCGCGCGAGTAGTTGAGAGTTCTTAGAAGTGAGACAAGGGGGAAGGCGGAGGTGAAGGCGGAGGCGAAGGCGAAGGCCAAGGCCAAGGCCACCCGATCGCCGCCATCATCGCCGCCAGGCCAGGCTGACTTGGCGAGGCGCGCCTTTGCGCGCAGGGTGACAGGTGGTGTGGCCGCGGGATGGCGGGGCGCGGCGACGAGGACGAATGGGACGATGACGTTCCACTGGGGGGCTCTTTCCGCGGTCCCGCCACAACCCCCGCGCCTTCCGCCTCGCGGATCCCTCCCCCGGGGTTCGCCGCAGGCGGAAGAGGCGTTGGCGGAAGGGGGGCTGGCGGAAGGGGGAGCATGGACGGCTAGGGATGAGCATAGGGACCCGGCGGGTCGGGTCGACCCGACCCGACCCGGGTTTTGACCCGGGTCGGGTCAGGAGTTCTGAACCACTGACCCGGCCGGGTCGGGTCGGGTATACCCGGCCGGGTCGGGTTGACCCGTGACCCGATTCCGGGTCGGGTCGGGTCGGGTCGGGTTTTGACCCGATTATGGACTCGACCCGGTTTCGGGTACCGCGCCCTATCTCGGGTTGGGATCTGGCCCGACCCGAGGGTTTCCTCTCGACAATGTTATCCAGATCGCAATCGCGCTTGCTTGTTTTCCCAGCAACTAGCATTTCGATCTGGATTAAGTTAGGTTAACTAGCTAGTGACGCCAGCAGCCACCCACCAAGCAACATTGGCGTACTAATCTACCCTAGAACCCACGATAATGTTTAGTTAGTACTCAGCCAATCGCACTTCGCACTTCGCGCCATCCATCTTAGGGTTTCTTTTAAATCCGAAATTTACAGGTCGCGCTCCCACCCTAGGCGCGCGCATTGCAGGCCCGCGTTTTAGGGCATCTCGGCGCGCCGTGCAGGCGCAGGTCGCTAGACCCGCGCCCCTACACATTATTAAGGAGAACCTCTAACCCTGCCTATGGGAGTCGGCCCGACCCGACCCGACCCGGCCCCGACCCGACCCGACCCGGGGGCGGGTCAAGCCTGACCCGGCACCCGATACCCGGGTCGGGCCAGAGATCTCAAAAGTTCCGACCCGACCCGACCCGACCCGGAACCCGGCTGGCCCGCCAAAGTCGGGTCGGGTCGGGTCGGGTCGGGTCATTTGATCATACCTATGGACGGCGCGCGCGGGCAAGGTAGATTCCGCGGAATGCTTCCCGCTATTCCGCCGAATCCGCTTCAGGGGGAATCGCCGTTCTCCCGTCCGCCCGCTGGTTCCGGCAGCACAGGCCACTCAGGCCAACGCGCCCCAACTGCCCATGCCAGGGCCGGCCATCCTGCCGGCCATGCTGCCGGCCATGCTGCCGGCCATCCTGCCGGCCATGCTGCCAGCAATCCTGATAAAATTAGGGTTGGGGGAATGGACGAGTATAGGGGTGGCCTAGGGGGGGTAAGCGGGTTGGGGGGCGAGGGGGAAAGGAGAGGGGAGGGCAGGATGGGCGGGAGAGCCGTTGACGTGGGGGGAGGCTTGGCGGGTGATTGGGAGGGGGAGCATCAGCAGAGACGCTACAACCCGTTTCACCTGCAGCAAGAGCGGCAGCAGCAGCCAGAGTATTTCGAGGAGGGCGACGAGGGGAGCGAAGAGGCGGAGGGGGAAGGGGGGGACGAGTCCGAGGAGGATGTTCCGCTCAACCAGCGCAGGGGGAGCGCGCAGCACAGCGCGGATGGGGGCGAGGGGGGGGCGCTGGGGGGCAGAGGCGCAGCGGGAGGAGTGCCTGCTCCAAGAGGGGGCGCTGGGCGCGGGAGGGGGCGGGGGAGAGGAAGAGGAGGGGGAGGAGGAGGGGTGGGGGGAAGGGGAGGCGGGGCTGTTGCTCCCCTGAAGCGCAAATCCAGTGGCCCTCTGCCTCCCTTACCACACCCATCCGTGCGCCAGCAGCAGGGGCTGCAAGAGCACGAGGATGCTTATAACGGAGATGGAGTGCACGGAGATGACTCTATAGCGAGTGAAAGCGCCCATGAAAGGCACTCTGGCAGCCCGGGGAAGGCGCTGGGGCGAGGGCGGGGGCGGGGCAGGGGCAGGGGGAGAGGCAGGCTTGGGGGAAGGGGATTGGAAGGGGGGGAAGCGGAAGGCACAGGAAGGGGAGGACAGGCAGGAGATGGTGGGGGAGGTGATGTGCTTGGTGGGGGTGATGTGCTTGGTGGGGGTGATGTGCTTGGTGGGGGTGATGTGCTTGGTGGGGGTGATGTTCTGTCCCCTGGGCGGGGTAGGGGGAGAGGCAGGGGGAGGGGACGGGGAAGGGGAGGGGGAAGAGGAAGGGGAGGGAGCGTTGCAGGGAGAGAGGCAAGTGAGGAGGAGGCAGGGGCGGGCAGTGAGTGGGAGGAGGGCGAGGGGTATGGGCGTGCAGGGGAGGACGCGTACGTGGGCAGTAGGTATGGGGGTGGGCGGTATAACGAGGCAGCAGCGGCGGAGAGAGAGGCGGTGCCAGGGCGGCTGCGGCTCACTGAGGAGGCGCACTCGCCCTTCCCCCTGCTCCCCCCGCCCCCCACCCCGCCTGCTGCCACGGCTGCAGCACGGTCGGCAGCACGGTCGGCAGCAGAGGGTGGCAGAGCAGAGGCAGGCACAGGCAGTGGGCACACTCTGCAGCAGCAGCAGCGGCAGGAAGAGGGGGAGCAGGAGGGGCAGGATGAGAAGCAGGGCAAGGGGGCATCAGATACGGGTGCGAGTGTGGCTGTCCGGTTTGCTGCAGCCATGAGAGCCGCGGCTGCTGGGGAGGGGTCGCTGGCGGAGGAGGCAGCTGCCATTGCTGCTGCTCTGCCTGCTCCACGCGTGTGGGATCAGACCAGCCTGGACAGGATCTCGACCGTTGATCGCGAGGAGAGGATTCGACGGCTGGAGTCGCAGTGCATGGACGAGTGTGTGCAGCTGTGCCGCGACCTCATCGTGCGCCAACGCCTCTGGCACCAGGTGGGACAAGGGGGGAGAGGGGGGAAGCGCCTCTGGCACCAGGTGGGACAAGGGGGGAGAGGGGGGAAGCGCCTCTGGCACCAGGTGGGACAAGGGGGGAGAGGGGGGAAGCGCCTCTGGCACCAGGTGGGGAGGGTGAGGGGGTGAGGGAGGGGGAGGGGGAGGTGGGAGAGACAACGCCTCTGGCACCAGGTGGGAGAGACAACGCCTCTGGCACCAGGTGGGAGAGACAACGCCTCTGGCTCCAGGTGGGAGAGACAACGCCTCTGGCTCCAGGTGGGAGAGACAACGCCTCTGGCACCAGGTGGGAGAGACAACGCCTCTGGCTCCAGGTGGGAGAGACAACGCCTCTGGCTCCAGGTGGGAGAGACAACGCCTCTGGCTCCAGGTGGGAGAGACAACGCCTCTGGCTCCAGGTGGGAGAGACAACGCCTCTGGCTCCAGGTGGGAGAGACAACGCCTCTGGCTCCAGGTGGGAGACACAACGCCTCTAGCACCAGCGCCTCTAGCACCAGGTGGGGGGGAAAGAAGGGGGAGTAGTGCCTCTGGCAGCAGGTAACGAGGGGGAGAGGTGGGATAGAGGTGGGAATGGGGGGGACAGCTGGTACCGTAGCACCTCTGGCACCTGGAGTGCCTCTGGCACCCGGTGGGGTAGGGGGGTGGATGGGGGGAGGGATGGCAGCAGGTGTGGGGAGGGAAGCGCCTGTGGCATGAGGTGTGTGGGGGTGGATGAGGGTGGGGGAGGCGTGGAAGGGTGTGCTGGGGTCGGGGCGAGACGGGGTGAGGGCAGGTGGGACGTGGGATGGATGTGGGTGGCGATGGGGAGGGGTTGGTGCAGAGTGCAATATGTGTGCTCTGGTTGGGAGCGCGTCTTTTTCTCTGCTCCCTGCTTGCTCGCCCCGTTCCCTGCTCCAAACCTCCATCAACTCGGACTCGCTGCTCCACAAGGGCGCCACGCCACTCTGAAGCCTGCTCACGTTCTGCCTGGCCTATAACCGCTCTCTTCCCTCTCCCGCTCTGCGCGTGGCCCACCCCTCCCCCCATGCGGGCAGGACATAGTGGATGCGGGAAAGCCCCTGCCGCCCGTCAAGCTCTTCCCCATCGTGCCGCCACTGGACCTCCTCGGTGCGTGCCGTGCCCGCCTCCCCTCCCCCTGCTACTCCTTGGTGGTTGCACCCTGCATGCGCTTCGCTCCCTTGCCGTTGCTCGCGTTGCGTCCCCACACCAAGTTCTCCATTCCATGAATGCACGTCATCTAACCAACCTCCCCTTCCCGTGTGACCCATCATGCATGCCCCCTCCCGTTCGTCTCCACAGACCCCGTCAGCCCGCCTGCCCTCCCTCACCTCCACTTTGACTCGCTCCTCCCGCTCCTCCCACCCGCCATGCAAGCTGCTGCTGGGGCAACAGCTGCTGCTGGTGGGAGGGGAGTGAAGGGGAAGGCGGAGGCGGATGTGGGGGCGGGCAGTGCAGGGGGGCGGGGAGGACGGGGCAGAGGAGGGCGAGGGAGAGGGAGGGGAGGGAGGGGAATGAAGCCGGCGGGCTGGGATGCTGAGTCGTCCGCTGCCGTGTGTGCTGGTGGCGAGTCAGCTGAAGGTGGGGCGGTGGCGGCAGGTTTACGGTTGAAACAAGAGGCGGCTGGGGCGGAGTGGGAGGAGGATGCACCGTTGCGAAGGCAGCAGCAGCAGGGGGGGATGAAGAGGCATCTGGGGCAGGTGGGGGGCGCGCAGGGGCTGCAGGGCAGCGTTCCCGTGGTGGGTCGGCCGAAGCAGATGGTTCGGCGGCTGCTGGTGTGGCGGGCGAATGAGCGCGAGGCGCTGAGGAAGGCCCTGCTCGCGTTTGGGCTCACCCGACCGTCCATGGTGAGCGACGAGGATGCGGGGGAAGAAGGGAGTGGGGGCTTGCGAGAGTAACTGGTGGGGAGGGGGAGCGGCTGCATGGGTGCATGGGTGCAGGTGCGCGTGGGGGCTGGTGGTTGCGGTGGCTGGCTGGGGCGAGGCGCTGCGGAAGGCCGTGCAGCCGTGCCCGCATTTGGGCTCACCCTACCGCCCATGGTGAGCGCGGTGGCGGTGGGGGGGAATGAGAGGCTTGTGGGTGCAGTGCAGTGGTGCAGGGAGTGGTTGGTGCAGTGAGTGGTTGGTGCAGTGAGTGGTTGGTGCAGTGAGTGGTTGGTGCAGTGAGTGGTCGGTGCAGTGAGTGGTGGGTGCAGTGAGTGGTTGGTGCAGTGAGTGGTTGGTGCAGTGAGTGGTTGGTGCAGTGAGTGGTTGGTGCAGTGAGTGGTGGGTGCAGTGAGTGGTTGGTGCAGTGAGTGGTTGGTGCAGTGAGTGGTTGGTGCAGTGAGTGGTTGGTGCAGTGAGTGGTTGGTGCAGTGAGTGGTTGGTGCAGTGAGTGGTTGGTGCAGTGAGTGGTTGGTGCAGTGAGTGGTTGGTGCAGTGAGTGGTTGGTGCAGTGAGTGGTTGGTGCAGTGAGTGGTTGGTGCAGTGAGTGGTTGGTGCAGTGAGTGGTTGGTGCAGTGAGTGGTTGGTGCAGTGAGTGGTTGGTGCAGTGAGTGGTTGGTGCAGTGAGTGGTTGGTGCAGTGAGTGGTTGGTGCAGTGAGTGGTTGGTGCAGTGAGTGGTTGGTGCAGTGAGTGGTTGGTGCAGTGAGTGGTTGGTGCAGTGAGTGGTTGGTGCAGTGAGTGGTTGGTGCAGTGAGTGGTTGGTGCAGTGAGTGGTTGGTGCAGTGCAGTGGTTGGTACAGTGAGTGGTTGGTGCAGTGAGTGGTTGGTGCAGTGAGTGGTTGGTGCAGTGAGTGGTTGGTGCAGTGAGTGGTTGGTGCAGTGAGTGGTTGGTGCAGTGAGTGGTTGGTGCAGTGAGTGGTTGGTGCAGTGAGTGGTTGGTGCAGTGAGTGGTTGGTGGTGCAGTGAGTGGTTGGTGCAGTGAGTGGTTGGTGCAGTGAGTGGTTGGTGCAGTGAGTGGTTGGTGCAGTGAGTGGTTGGTGCAGTGAGTGGTTGGTGCAGTGAGTGGTTGGTGCAGTGAGTGGTTGGTGCAGTGAGTGGTTGGTGCAGTGAGTGGTCGGTGCAGTGAGTGGTGGGTGCAGTGAGTGGTTGGTGCAGTGAGTGGTTGGTGCAGTGAGTGGTTGGTGCAGTGAGTGGTTGGTGCAGTGAGTGGTTGGTGCAGTGAGTGGTTGGTGCAGTGAGTGGTTGGTGCAGTGAGTGGTTGGTGCAGTGAGTGGTTGGTGCAGTGAGTGGTTGGTGCAGTGAGTGGTAGGTGCAGTGAGTGGTTGGTGCAGTGAGTGGTTGGTGCAGTGAGTGGTTGGTGCAGTGAGTGGTTGGTGCAGTGAGTGGTTGGTGCAGTGAGTGGTTGGTGCAGTGAGTGGTTGGTGCAGTGAGTGGTTGGTGCAGTGAGTGGTTGGTGCAGTGAGTGGTTGGTGCAGTGAGTGGTTGGTGCAGTGAGTGGTTGGTGCAGTGAGTGGTTGGTGCAGTGAGTGGTTGGTGCAGTGAGTGGTTGGTGCAGTGAGTGGTTGGTGCAGTGAGTGGTTGGTGCAGTGAGTGGTTGGTGCAGTGAGTGGTTGGTGCAGTGAGTGGTTGGTGCAGTGAGTGGTTGGTGCAGTGAGTGGTTGGTGCAGTGAGTGGTAGGTGCAGTGAGTGGTTGGTGCAGTGAGTGGTTGGTGCAGTGAGTGGTTGGTGCAGTGAGTGGTTGGTGCAGTGAGTGGTTGGTGCAGTGAGTGGTTGGTGCAGTGAGTGGTTGGTGCAGTGAGTGGTTGGTGCAGTGAGTGGTTGGTGCAGTGAGTGGTTGGTGCAGTGAGTGGTTGGTGCAGTGAGTGGTTGGTGCAGTGAGTGGTTGGTGCAGTGAGTGGTTGGTGCAGTGAGTGGTTGGTGCAGTGAGTGGTTGGTGCAGTGAGTGGTTGGTGCAGTGAGTGGTTGGTGCAGTGAGTGGTTGGTGCAGTGAGTGGTTGGTGCAGTGAGTGGTTGGTGCAGTGAGTGGTTGGTGCAGTGAGTGGTTGGTGCAGTGAGTGGTTGGTGCAGTGAGTGGTTGGTGCAGTGAGTGGTTGGTGCAGTGAGTGGTTGGTGCAGTGAGTGGTTGGTGCAGTGAGTGGTTGGTGCAGTGAGTGGTTGGTGCAGTGAGTGGTTGGTGCAGTGAGTGGTTGGTGCAGTGAGTGGTTGGTGCAGTGAGTGGTTGGTGCAGTGAGTGGTTGGTGCAGTGAGTGGTTGGTGCAGTGAGTGGTTGGTGCAGTGAGTGGTTGGTGCAGTGAGTGGTTGGTGCAGTGAGTGGTTGGTGCAGTGAGTGGTTGGTGCCAGTCACCGCCCCGCCCCGCCCCGCCCTTCCGCCACCGCTCTTGCTGCAACACCCTCCGCCTCCACCCTCTCCTCTCTGCTCTCTCTCATACGCCCTGTGTGCCTCGTGTCCGCCTCCATGCTGTGCCGCAGCCTACAGCCCAGCCTCCAACGCCACCACCATTCCATACAGCTCTGCACTCCGCTCCACTCCTCGCCCCGTCCCTCCCTCCCCACATATCCCCCCCACCTCCCCCTGCCCTGCCCTTCTGTGTGCCCGTGACGCGGTCAGGTGCTGGGCAGCATGCGGGCGAGCATGAGGAGCGAGCGGCACGGGGCGGGGGACGTGGTGGACGCCACGTGCCACTTCCTGCGTGCATGTTCAACGCTGCAGCCCCCCGATGCCCTCGACCCGCGTGACCTCGCCTGGGCGCAGCGCCGCCTCTCCCACCTCGCCTCCCTCGCCAACGTCCCCTTGGGCGCCCCGGGGGACGGTGGCGAGGGGGGTGATGGCGAGGGAGAGGGAGGGCGAGAGGGAGGTGGAGGGGGAGGGGAGGGGGATGGGATAGCTCGGCGGGTGGGGTGGTGGGAGCGGGTGCCGGTGGCGAGCTGTGCGCGCACGTGGCTGCGCCGCCTGCGCCTGCTGGAGCAGCTCGTGCGTGTGTGGGCGGGAGGGGGGCGAGGGAGACGGGTGTGTGGGCGGGAGGGGAGCAAGGGAGACGGGTGTGTGGGCGGGAGGGGGGCGAGGGAGACGGGTGTGTGGGCGGGAGGGGGGCGAGGGAGACGGGTGTGTGGTGCACGCGGTATCTGGGGCGAGTGACTTGGTTGTATAATCGTTCTGATGTCTCACCATCACCATCTCTCACCCATCTCCTCTCTCTCCCTTCCTCTCTCCCCGCTCAGCATCAGCTGCCGTTACACTGACAAGCCACCCCCTTTTCTTCCTGACCCCCGTGCCTGTCTCCCTCCATTCGTCTCCCCCCCCATCAGCACGAGGTGCTGGGCTTCATGGCGCGCAGCACGGGATTCGCCCTCGCATGCCACCACGTGGCGGCGCTCACCGACGCCACGCTGCCCGCGCATTGGTGGGCGCGCGACGCTGACCTGGCGCTGCTGCTGGGCGTGGCTCTGCACGGGTACGGCGCGTACGAGGCCGTGTATGGCGACTCTGCCCTCGGGCCGCACCTCCGCAAGCCCCAGAGGGACAGGGGGGCGCGTGGGGAGAAAGGGGAGGAGAAGGGTGAGAAGGTTGGGGAGGAGGGAGGGGCGGGGGGCGAGGAGGAGGGGTGGTTGGACGCGTACACGCTGACGCGGCGGCTGAAGCGACTCATTGAGCACCTCGTGCGCATCAAGCGATCCGTGCGCCCCGACTCCCTCTCTCTGCTCCCCGCTCTCTGCTCCCTGCTCTCTGCTCTCTGCTCCCTGCTCCCTGCTCTCTGCTCCCTGCTCTCTGCTCTCTGCTCTCTGCTCCCTGCTCTCTGCTCTCTGCTCTCTGCTCCCTGCTCTCTGCTCTCTGCTCTCTGCTCCCTGCTCTCTGCTCTCTGCTCCCTGCTCTCTGCTCCTCCCCATATTGCCTGCTCGCCGTCCTCTCTCTGCCTCGCCACCTCTTTGCCTCGCTATCTGATGGCATTCAAAGTGTCTGTGCTACCATGCTACACGTTTGCATGCGCATACAACGTTTCAGAGCAGTTTACAGGTGCAGTAGTGAGGCCAAGAAATGAGGGATGCATGTGCCCACTCACATAGCAATGGAGTCACTCCCTTCTCTCCCCCTCTCTCTCCCCCCCTCTCTCCCCTCCTCTCTCCCCTCCTCTCTCCCCTCCTGTCCCCCCTCCTACCTCCCATCCTGTCCCCTCTCCTCTTGCCCCTCTTCTCTATCCCCTCTCCTCTGTCCCCTCTCTTCTCTTTCCCCTCCTCTCTGTTAGAATACCAGTGTACTGTGTCCTGCATATATCCTTCATCGCTTGGGTAGACGTAGGCACCCAAGTCTAGTGTGAGTGCATCCTTAGCTAAAGGGTGGAGAATGTTGGAGATCCAGTAATTGTGGGAATGATGGCAGACAAGAACCCAACAACCCCCGCGTCCCATCCAACCATGCATTCCCTTGCCTGTTTCAATGGAATCAAAGTGCTGGTTCTTCACGTTTTCTCACACTCTCTCCCCTCCTATCCCCCTTCCTCTACCGCCTTCTCTTCCGCCTCCTCTCCCCCGTCCTTTTCCCTCTCCTCTCCCCACTCCTACCCCCCGCTTCCTCCCCACAGCTGGCGAAGAAGCCTCAGCCTGCGCCCACGCTGACGGGTCCTCCCCCCGCCTTCACCCCCGCGCACTTCAAGCGCGCCCTTCCCCCCGCCTCCGATGCCTGGGCTGCCCCCGCTGCTGCTGCTGCTGCCGCTGCCGCTGCTGCTGCTGCTGCCCCCGCCGCTGCTTCCGTTGCTGCTGGTGGTGGTGGCGGGAGGGGTGGGGACATCGGCGGAAGAGGGGGCGTTGGGGGGAGAGGGAGGGTAGGCAGGGGAAGGGGAGTGGGAAGAGAGGGGAGAGGAGGATGGGGGTTAGCTGATGGGGGAGGAGCAGGAGGAAGGGGAGGGAGAGAAAGAGTGGGGAACGCAGGAGGGGCTTATGAGGAGTACGGGGGGGAGGAGGAGGAGGAGGAGCAGTGGGGAGGGCGGGGGGAGCATGGGGAGCACGGGGAAGAGTATGGGGAGGAGGGGGATGGGGCAGGGGAAAGGGGGGAAGAGGGGGATGAGGGCGCGGGGGAGGAGTGGAACGAGGATGCCCCTGTGAGGCGAGGTGGGGGGCGAGGGGAGGGCGGACTAGGCGGTGTGGAGAGAGGGGGAGGGGCGAGGGGGCGGGGCAGGGGGCGAGGCAGAGGGCGGGGAGGAGGGAGGGGCGGGGCAGCAGGTGGAGGAGAAACTGGTGCTGCTGACGCGAGCGGTAGGGGGGGGGCGGGGGAGGGGGAGAAGAGGGCGGGGGCGTGGGGGCACGAGGGGGGGCGGACGAGGTGCAGGAGCGGTGGAGATGGGTGGTGGCGTGGGGGAGGAGATGGAGTGGGAGGCACAGGCGGAGGAACGGGAGGGGGACGCGGAGGGCGCGCAGGGTGGCGGCCGCTGGCGTGCACACGGGGCAGGGGGGGCGCATGGGGAAGGGGAAGGGGCGGCACAGGGAGGGGCGGCACAGGGAGGGGCGGCACAGGGAGGGGCGGCACAGGGAGGGGCGGCACAGGGAGGGGCGGCACAGGGAGGGGCGGCACAGGGAGGGGCGGCACAGGGAGGGGCGGCACAGGGAGGGGCGGACACGGCGTGGAGCCGCAAGGAGAAGCTGGAGCTGCTGCGCCTGCTCATGCTGTGGGGGCTGCCCGCTGTGAGTGGCTCATGCTGTGGGGGCTGCCCGCTGTGAGTGGCTCATGCTGTGGGGGCTGCCCGCTGTGAGTGGCTCATGCTGTGGGGGCTGCCCGCTGTGAGTGGCTCATGCTGTGGGGGCTGCCCGCTGTGAGTCGTGGCTTGTTTGATTTGGGGGTGCATTCACGCCCATGCCCGTACAAGTGCCTGAAACATTAACGTGCTGTGCCGTGCTGCACTGCTACAACACACCGTAATGCTGTGCGCGTGCACTGCATTTGTCTTGTATAGCAACTGAGCACGCTCACCCCATGAGGTCTTCCCCATCCCGTTCTTCCCCTCGCACCCCTCGGGAGCAGCGGCATGGCGGCAGCAGGACGAGCCGTGTGAGGTGAGGGGTGGTTGTGAAGGATGGATGTTGAGAGACAGTGCGCCTATCATGTGCTTCAACCTGCTCTGCCCCTGCTCAACCCAACCATCCTGTCCCGTGCTTCCCCTCACACCAACATGCTTCCCCTCACACCAACATGCTTCCCCTCACACCAACATGCTTCCCCTCACACCAACGTGCTTCCCCTCACACCAACATGCTTCCCCTCACACCAACGTGCTTCCCCTCACACCAACGTGCTTCCCCTCACACCAACGTGCTTCCCCTCACACCAACGTGCTTCCCCTCACACCAACGTGCTTCCCCTCACACCAACGTGCTTCCCCTCACACCAACGTGCTTCCCCTCACACCAACGTGCTTCCCCTCACACCAACGTGCTTCCCCTCACACCAACGTGCTTCCCCTCACACCAACGTGCTTCCCCTCACACCAACGTGCTTCCCCTCACACCAACGTGCTTCCCCTCACACCAACGTGCTTCCCCTCACACCAACGTGCTTCCCCTCACACCAACGTGCTTCCCCTCACACCAACGTGCTTCCCCTCACACCAACGTGCTTCCCCTCACACCAACGTGCTTCCCCTCACACCAACGTGCTTCCCCTCACACCAACGTGCTTCCCCTCACACCAACGTGCTTCCCCTCACACCAACGTGCTTCCCCTCACACCAACGTGCTTCCCCTCACACCAACGTGCTTCCCCTCACACCAACGTGCTTCCCCTCACACCAACGTGCTTCCCCTCACACCAACGTGCTTCCCCTCACACCAACGTGCTTCCCCTCACACCAACGTGCTTCCCCTCACACCAACGTGCTTCCCCTCACACCAACGTGCTTCCCCTCACACCAACGTGCTTCCCCTCACACCAACGTGCTTCCCCTCACACCAACGTGCTTCCCCTCACACCAACGTGCTTCCCCTCACACCAACGTGCTTCCCCTCACACCAACGTGCTTCCCCTCACACCAACATGCTTCCCCTCACACCAACGTGCTTCCCCTCACACCAACGTGCTTCCCCTCACACCAACGTGCTTCCCCTCACACCAACGTGCTTCCCCTCACACCAACGTGCTTCCCCTCACACCAACGTGCTTCCCCTCACACCAACGTGCTTCCCCTCACACCAACGTGCTTCCCCTCACACCAACGTGCTTCCCCTCACACCAACATGCTTCCCCTCACACCAACGTGCTTCCCCTCACACCAACGTGCTTCCCCTCACACCAACGTGCTTCCCCTCACACCAACGTGCTTCCCCTCACACCAACGTGCTTCCCCTCACACCAACGTGCTTCCCCTCACACCAACGTGCTTCCCCTCACACCAACGTGCTTCCCCTCACACCAACATGCTTCCCCTCACACCAACGTGCTTCCCCTCACACCAACGTGCTTCCCCTCACACCAACGTGCTTCCCCTCACACCAACGTGCTTCCCCTCACACCAACGTGCTTCCCCTCACACCAACGTGCTTCCCCTCACACCAACGTGCTTCCCCTCACACCAACGTGCTTCCCCTCACACCAACGTGCTTCCCCTCACACCAACGTGCTTCCCCTCACACCAACGTGCTTCCCCTCACACCAACGTGCTTCCCCTCACACCAACGTGCTTCCCCTCACACCAACGTGCTTCCCCTCACACCAACGTGCTTCCCCTCACACCAACGTGCTTCCCCTCACACCAACGTGCTTCCCCTCACACCAACGTGCTTCCCCTCACACCAACGTGCTTCCCCTCACACCAACGTGCTTCCCCTCACACCAACGTGCTTCCCCTCACACCAACATGCTTCCCCTCACACCAACGTGCTTCCCCTCACACCAACGTGCTTCCCCTCACACCAACGTGCTTCCCCTCACACCAACGTGCTTCCCCTCACACCAACGTGCTTCCCCTCACACCAACGTGCTTCCCCTCACACCAACGTGCTTCCCCTCACACCAACGTGCTTCCCCTCACACCAACGTGCTTCCCCTCACACCAACGTGCTTCCCCTCACACCAACATGCTTCCCCTCACACCAACGTGCTTCCCCTCACACCAACGTGCTTCCCCTCACACCAACGTGCTTCCCCTCACACCAACATGCTTCCCCTCACACCAACGTGCTTCCCCTCACACCAACGTGCTTCCCCTCACACCAACATGCTTCCCCTCACACCAACGTGCTTCCCCTCACACCAACGTGCTTCCCCTCACACCAACGTGCTTCCCCTCACACCAACATGCTTCCCCTCACACCAACGTGCTTCCCCTCACACCAACATGCTTCCCCTCACACCAACGTGCTTCCCCTCACACCAACATGCTTCCCCTCACACCAACATGCTTCCCCTCACACCAACATGCTTCCCCTCACACCAACATGCTTCCCCTCACACCAACATGCTTCCCCTCACACCAACATGCTTCCCCTCACACCAACATGCTTCCCCTCACACCAACGTGCTTCCCCTCACACCAACGTGCTTCCCCTCACACCAACGTGCTTCCCCTCACACCAACGTGCTTCCCCTCACACCAACGTGCTTCCCCTCACACCAACGTGCTTCCCCTCACACCAACGTGCTTCCCCTCACACCAACGTGCTTCCCCTCACACCAACATGCTTCCCCTCACACCAACATGCTTCCCCTCACACCAACGTGCTTCCCCTCACACCAACGTGCTTCCCCTCACACCAACGTGCTTCCCCTCACACCAACGTGCTTCCCCTCACACCAACGTGCTTCCCCTCACACCAACGTGCTTCCCCTCACACCAACGTGCTTCCCCTCACACCAACGTGCTTCCCCTCACACCAACGTGCTTCCCCTCACACCAACATGCTTCCCCTCACACCAACGTGCTTCCCCTCACACCAACGTGCTTCCCCTCACACCAACGTGCTTCCCCTCACACCAACGTGCTTCCCCTCACACCAACGTGCTTCCCCTCACACCAACGTGCTTCCCCTCACACCAACATGCTTCCCCTCACACCAACATGCTTCCCCTCACACCAACAGGAGCAGCAGCAGGGCAGCAACAGCAGCAGCGGCGGCAGCACTGTGAGCTGGCAGCAGCTGCGGGACCACTCGCACCTGCCATCCGTGCTCGCCAGGTCAACAGCCTCCGTGGCGGGGTGCTTCGATGACGTCATCGCTGAGATGCAGCGCCGCCTGCAGGGCCTGCCTGCCTCCTCGCCTGCCTCCGCTGCTTCCAATGCTGCTTCCAATGCTGCTTCCAATGCTGCTTCCAATGCTGCTTTGGCTGCTGCTGCAGCAGGAGAGGAAGGAGAGGAAGTGGGGGACGGAGGGGAAGGGAATGGAAGGGAGGCAGGTGGCGGTGGCGCGGCGGGCAAGAGGACGTTTGCGCTGGGAGAAGGCCACCCTGCCTGCTGTCCGGTAACATGCCTGTCACCTGCCATGTCCGCATCCCTCTGCTCCTCTCATATGGCCTTTCACGGTTCGCCTCATGCACACATGCCACCACCTCCACTCTTTACCCTCTCCCCCTCTCTGCCCCGCACTGCCCCCTGTCTCGTCCCTGCTGGCCTTCGCAGTGTCTGCTGTGTGGGGAGCGAGAGGCATCGAAGGCGAGGAGGCAGCGCAGGGGGCAACCGAGAGTGGGGGAAGAAGGTGGGGCGGAGGGGGATGGGGAGAGCGTGCTGCTCACTCCAGAAGACTCTGTGCTCAATGCCAAGACAGCGGTCAGTTGATGCCAAGACAGCGGTCAGTTGATGCCAAGACAGCGGTCAGTTGATGCCAAGACAGCAGTGGGTTGATGACCGTTAGACCCTAATACTGATGCCATGTAATCCATGAAAGATCCTTCTATTTTCCTTCTTCCCTTACTCCAACCGCTCCATTTTTGCGGCCCCTTCTATTTTCCTTCTTCCCTTTATCCCACCGCGGGACCGCATGCATGTCCGCCCGCGTCACCAGGAGAGGCTGCTAGAGCGGTTGGAGGCGGTGGAGGTGCTGCGCAGGGCGGTGGTGGTGTTTGGCGGGGACTGGTTCCGGCTGGGCCTGTCCACGTACAAGTCGCACGACCTGCCCGCCTGGTGGCGCGCTGGCATCCACGACAAGGGGCTCGTCAAGGTGTGTGGCATCCACGACAAGGGGCTCGTCAAGGTGCGTGGCATCCACGCCAAGGGGCTCGTCAAGGTGTGTGGCATCCACGACAAGGGGCTCGTCAAGGTGTGTGGCATCAACGCCAAGGGGCTCGTCAAGGGGTGTGGCATCCACGACAAGGGGCTCGTCAAGGGGTGTGGCATCCACGACAAGGGGCTCGTCAAGGTGTGTGGCATCCACAACAAGGGGCTCGTCAAGGTGTGTGGCATCCACGCCAAGGGGCTCGTCAAGGTGTGTGGCATCCACGACAAGGGGTTCGTCAAGGTGTGTGGCATCCACGACAAGGGGCTCGTCAAGGTGTGTGGCATCCACGACAAGGGGTTCGTCAAGGTGTGTGGCATCCACGACAAGGGGCTCGTCAAGGTGTGTGGCATCCAGGACAAGGGGCTCGTCAAGGTGTGTGGCATCCACGACAAGGGGCTCGTCAAGGTGTGTGGCATCCACGACAAGGGGCTCGTCAAGGTGTGTGGCATCCACGCCAAGGGGCTCGTCAAGGTGTGTGGCATCCACGACAAGGGGCTCGTCAAGGTGTGTGGCATCCACGCCAAGGGGCTCGTCAAGGGGTGTGGCATCCACGCCAAGGGGCTCGTCAAGGTGTGTGGCATCCACGACAAGGGGCTCGTCAAGGTGTGTGGCATCCACGACAACGGGCTCGTCAAGGTGTGTGGCATCCACGACAAGGGGCTCGTCAAGGTGTGTGGCATCCACGACAAGGGGCTCGTCAAGGTGTGTGGCATCCACGCCAAGGGGCTCGTCAAGGTGTGTGGCATCCACGACAAGGGGCTCGTCAAGGTGTGTGGCATCCACGACAAGGGGCTCGTCAAGGTGTGTGGCATCCACGACAAGGGGCTTGTCAAGGTGTGTGGCATCCACGACAAGGGGCTCGTCAAGGTGTGTGGCATCCACGACAAGGGGCTCGTCAAGGTGTGTGGCATCCACGCCAAGGGGCTCGTCAAGGTGTGTGGCATCCACGACAAGGGGCTCGTCAAGGTGTGTGGCATCCACGACAAGGGGCTCGTCAAGGTGTGTGGCATCCACGACAAGGGGCTCGTCAAGGTGTGTGGCATCCACGACAAGGGGCTCGTCAAGGGGTGTGGCATCCACGCCAAGGGGCTCGTCAAGGTGTGTGGCATCCACGACAAGGGTGTTGTAATTTCATATTTCATACAACATACATAGGCTAGAAGTGTAGCACATTTATAAATTGGGGGGTTGCTTAGTGTACCCTCCAACCACATTTTGTGGTTGGTTGGGATTGGTCCTTAGCTCAACCAATCCCAACCAACACACATTTGTGGTTGCTTGGGTCACAAGCAAGCTCACCCATTGGCCAACTTATTGGCCAATAGGGTAAGCTTCCCTCCCATCTCTCTCTTGCTCATTGTTTGTACTAAAGAGCCTCTTGGCTCATTATTCAATGTATCAATTCTCTCTCTTCTAACAAAGGGGCTCGTCAAGGTGTGTGGCATCCACGACAAGGTGCTCGTCAAGGTGTGTGGCATCCACGACAAGGGGCTCGTCAAGGTGTGTGGCATCCACGACAAGGGGCTCGTCAAGGTGTGTGGCATCCATGACAAGGGGCTCGTCAAGGTGTGTGGCATCCACGACAAGGGGCTCGTCAAGGTGTGTGGCATCCACGACAAGGGGCTCGTCAAGGTGTGTGGCATCCACGACAAGGGGCTTGTCAAGGTGTGTGGCATCCACGACAAGGGGCTCGTCAAGGTGTGTGGCATCCACGACAAGGGGCTCGTCAAGGTGTGTGGCATCCACGCCAAGGGGCTCGTCAAGGTGTGTGGCATCCACGACAAGGGGCTCGTCAAGGTGTGTGGCATCCACGACAAGGGGCTCGTCAAGGTGTGTGGCATCCACGCCAAGGGGCTCGTCAAGGTGTGTGGCATCCACGCCAAGGGGCTCGTCAAGGTGTGTGGCATCCACGACAAGGGGCTCGTCAAGGTGTGTGGCATCCACGACAAGGGGCTCGTCAGGGTGTGTGGCATCCACGACAAGGGGCTCGTCAAGGTGTGTGGCATCCAGGACAAGGGGCTCGTCAAGGTGTGTGGCATCCACGACAAGGGGCTCGTCAAGGTGTGTGGCATCCACAACAAGGGGCTCGTCAAGGTGTGTGGCATGCACCCCAAGGGGCTCGTCAAGGTGTGTGGCATCCACGACAAGGGGCTCGTCAAGGTGTGTGGCATCCACGACAAGGGGCTCGTCAAGGTGTGTGGCATCCATGACAAGGGGCTCGTCAAGGTGTGTGGCATCCACGACAAGGGGCTCGTCAAGGTGTGTGGCATCCACGACAAGGGGCTCGTCAAGGTGTGTGGCATCCACGACAACGGGCTCGTCAAGGTGTGTGGCATCCACGCCAAGGGGCTCGTCAAGGTGTGTGGCATCCAAGCCAAGGGGCTCGTCAAGGTGTGTGGCATCCACGACAAGGGGCTCGTCAAGGTGTGTGGCATCCACGACAAGGGGCTCGTCAAGGTGTGTGGCATCCACGACAAGGGCCTCGTCAAGGTGTGTGGCATCCACGACAAGGGGCTCATCAAGGTGTGTGGCATCCACGACAAGGGGCTCGTCAAGGTGTGTGGCAGCTTGCTATGCATTCATTGGATGCATGGTTGCTTACCGGCTGCTGTCCATCTCGATATCTCCACTGCTCACCCTCCTCCTGCGTGGCCATCGTTCATGCTGGCCTCCACCCCCCCAGCCCAGCTTTCATCTCTGTGCCCCCACTCCCCTCCCCCGTCGACCCCTCTTCCCCCTCGTTAGGGCATATTCTTGCACGGGTACGGGTCGTGGGCGGCCATCATGAAGGACGCGGAGCTGCCCTTTGCGGCGCTCATAGCGCCCAGCAAGGCCGCCAAGGGCAAGGCAGGGCCCCGCAAGGCCGCGGCAGAGGCGGACGGCAGTGGCGCCGGCGAGGGAGGGAGAGGCGGCAGCGAGCAGGCGGACGAGGACGGGGCAGGCGGGGGAGCGGCAGGGGAGGGGGCACCGAAGGCGAAGGTGGTGGTGCGGAGGGTGAAGTACCTGGAGAAGATGCTCAAGCGGCAGCTCATCAAGCGCGACAGCTCTGGTCCCCGCAAGCGCATGTCCGCCGCTGCCAAGGCTGCTGCTGCCGCCGCCGCCGCCGCCGCTGCAGCTGCTGGTGGTTCCGCTGCTCCCTGCGTTGATGCCAAGCCTGCTGCTGGCACTGTCAGTAGTGTCGGTGCTGCTGCTTCTGATGATGTGGATGCAGGGCAGCAGCGTGTGCATGGACACATGGCGTCCGCTGGTTGGCTGGTGGGAGATCCACACAGGGCTGGAGGTGGGGGGGATGTTGGAGGAGGCGGGGGAGGAGTGAGCCTGGAGTTCACATTGGAGAGGGGCGCGGGTGCTGGGGGAGTGGGTGGGGTGGGAGCACGAGGTGTTCATCCTGCTGCTTCTGCTGGCGCTGGTGTTGCTTTGGTTGGAAATTCTGCCAGAATAGTGGGTGGGGGTCTAGGCTTGGGCATGGGTGGAGGTATGGGTGGGCTGGACTTAAACATGGACTTGGATGAGGAAATAGAGGACTAGATGGTGCCTTGTGCCTTGTTTGTGTTGGTTCTCCTGGGAGTGCTGGACTGGGCTGTAATAAAGTGCAATTGAGGCTCATGTTGAGGAGCTGATCAGGTTGCTTGTTGAGAACAAATTCCTGTTGAGGTAAGAAAAAGTAAATGTGTTGATAACTTGGTACTGTCATCGGCCGGATAGTAAATGGAAGGTTTATGGTGTCTTTTTTGTTAAAATGTGGAAACAGGAATGTCGAAATTAGCAAGGAGAGGGAGTACAAGAAGGAAACCTAGAAGGGTTGTACCCCCGAAAGCTAGCATCACTATAGCCTAGAAGAATAACATACACATACACATATGTTTGACACACCCCCATAGGCTTGGGGGATAGCAAGACCAACAAAAGGTCACAAGACCAGTCAAGAGAAGCACTTCAACGCAAACCTCAGGGTGGATCTCAAGATCACCACACATTCTGAGCACAAGCAAGCGGTCACAAGGCCATTTCACATGCAGTTTTATAATAACACAAGACCCGGGTGACTTTCCTAAAATAGAGGCAAATTGGTTAGGGTGAACATTTAATCGGAACGAGTTGTATAAGACCCGGGTACACTTATTAATCAAGTACAGTTATGCGATTTAGGGTGTACCATTCGTTTTGGGGGGGGGGGGGGGGGGGGGACTTTTATTTTGCATGTCCAAATCCACCGCTTACAGCACTCCGAACCTCATATCGCATGTGACACGCATCATCCAACTAGGCACGACGGCGGAAATCACACCATTCGAGGCGAATCGCACAGCATCTTGACTGCGCGGTTCCCTCAGGTGCCCACATCCAAACACCCCCCCCCCCCCCTCTTTGCATCACGTCTGTTCCTTTAGCGACAGAGCGAGAGACAGGCTCTGGACGTGGTGCGGAACGGATCCCTCACAACTCCAGCAGGCAGTCGAGCTTGTCACATCGTACCCCAGCGCTGTGTCTATTGCTTCTGAATCACTTCGTTAGCTCAGCCGCACTACAAAGAACGGCTCATGGCGCCAGTAGGTCGTCATGCGCCCCAAGTACGATAGTTTAGCAATAGAGTTCCACCATGTCGGCTTTCGAAATCCCTTGGCGTACGCGCCGTGCCTCGCCGACTTCATCGCGGCGGGCCATCTTTCTGATTACTAGCCCGCGTCCGCCAGCACCACCTGCGCCTCTCGCACCACCTGCCCCGCCTGCTCCACCGGCGCCGCCTGCGCCATCCGTGTTTCTCACGGGTTTTGTTTCCCACCAGGACCGGCCTCTCTTCGAGCCCCCGGACGAGGAGGGCTTTCCCGCGCCAGAAGACGTCAGCGAAAACCGCGATGAGACCGACGAGGCGGCCGACGGTGTTGGCGACTTCCCCATCCCCACCTTTCCCGAAGACCTCGTCCACGATGAAGGTGGTCCCGAGGCAACGAAGGACGCCGCACCTGCAAGTCCGCGTTCCTCGCAAGAGTACGCACCGTCGCACGGCGCGCACCATGGGTGAGAAGTGGCAGTGGCTTCTGCGGATGAAAGACGAGAATCTGTCAATTCGTCACACGGCCCGTCTTGCAGGGGTTCAGCCAATCAGCGTCCGCCGTTGGCTGAGGATCGCGCAGGAGATCGAAAAGGCTGCACCGTGCAGGCGTCGGCTGAAGGGTGGCGGTCGGCGGGCGAAATACCCCGACATGGAGCAGGCTGTGTACAAGAAGCTCTTGAACTTCCGCGGCAGGGGGTTAGCGGTCTCGATCAAGCTCATCAAGCAGTGGAGCAGGACGTTCATGAAGCACCACCACCCGGACGTCGCTTGGATGGCCTCCGCGCGCTGGACGTTTCGCTTCCGTGCACGGTGGGGCCTCGCCATCCGTGTGAAGACGAAGATCGAGCAGCGCCTCGCGAAGGGTATATATAATTTGCTTCGCGACTCATTGACCCTCCGTGTTAGTGTATAAGCCGCCTCCCACTGTTTACCTGGGTGAGTCACTTCGTTTACCGGGTTTTTTTAATTTCGTTTGCAGATTGCAAGCCCAAATGCGAATCTTTCTGGGAGTTCGTACGGCAGAACGTCGTCAAGTGGAGCATCGACACGTGGAACGTCATAAACGCGGACCAGACCCCTGTGTTCTTGGAGATGCCATGCGACCGGACTCTTCACCACCGCGGCGAGAAGTCTGTGCACGTTCGCAGCGCGGGGTACAAGAAGCAACGAGTGACCGTGATGCTGGGCGTCACGGCGGACGGACGCAAGCTTCCAGCGATGGTCATTTTCAAGTGCAAGACCATCCCTAAGATGCGCGTGCCGCCAGGTAATTTTTGTATTGGCCCTGAAGCCGCGGTGGGTGATACCTTAGTACGTTTAACAATCTCCCCGTACACTTGCGTGTTTCTCGTATGCAGGTGTCATCATCCGCGCTCATGAGAAGGGGTGGATGGACGGCAAACTCGTCGACGACTGGGTTAACAATGTCCTTCTCCCCTTCATCAAGCCGCCTCGTGGCATCCTTCGGTCCAAGACCCTCCTGGTCTTGGACTCCTACCATGGACGCATCACGGACGGCGTTCTTGCGAAGCTCAGGTGGCACCGTGTGATCCCCGCCATCATCCCGGGGGGGTGCACGCCCCTACTGCAGCCCCTTGACGTGAGCATCAACCGCTCCTTCAAGGCGGGACTGCGCACGTTCTACAACGGCTGGTTCGCCGATGAAGGGGTGAACAGCTTCACCCCCGCAGGTGCGTCTACCTTAAGGGCTCTAAACCGTAACAAAGTGAGAGCACATGTTGACACAATAAACACACTCACTCAAATCTGTGTGCGTTGGTCGACCTTGTAGGGAACCTGAAGAGCCCCCCCGCTGAGACGGTGCTGAAGTGGATCGCCCAGTCATGGAGCGACGTGCTGGAGCACATCATCGTCAAGGCGTTCATGACCACCGGCATCAGCAACGCCGTTGACAACAGCCAGGATCACCTCGTCCTGGCGCACATGCGGGATGCTGGTCAGGTCGAGGTGGGAGAGGACGTCCACTCCTCCCCCTTGGTGGATGAGTGGGTCAACCCCCTTTACACCACAACTGCTGATGACGAGGAAGCTGCCTGGGAGGCGGACAACGAGGACTGTGGGGACATGCCCGCGGAGGAGGCGGAGGAGGAGGAGGAGGAGGAGGAGGAGGAGGAGGAGGAGGAGGAGGAGGAGGAGGAGGAGGAGGAGGAGGAGGAGAAGGAGGAGAAGGAGGAGGAGGAGGAGGAGGAGGCCGAGATGGAGGCGGAGGAGGAGGAGGAGGAGATCGAGGGGGAGGCAGAGTGGGGAGACGTGGAGGAGGACGAGGTGGAGTAGGGAATAGGGGGGTGCAAGAGAAAGGTTAGCTAAGCTAGACTGTAGATTTGTATAAGTGTGTTGCTTGATGTACAGGAGTATTGACTCGTTCCATGCCTTCACATCGTGTCTAGTGTGGATCCAAGTGCACTATTAATTCTAAAGTGTTGGGCAATTGTTTCTTTAACAGAATCCCCTCCCCTAGGGGAAGGGGGGGGGGGGTCTTATACTGTTTATAGGCTTAGGGGGGGTCCTCTCACATATGCTACATATTAAGAGTCCCAGTACCGTTCAAAAGTCCCGGGGGTCTTCTTTTCAGGAGGGTCCTATATCCGGGAGAATACGGTAGTACGATGATTACAACCTAGCAACGTGAAGCATTTAGGTTTAAATATCAAAGTACAAAATAAGATCAAGAGACAACCAGGTGAGGCAGAGTGGGCACAAGCCCAAGAGCAGTGCAGAAACGCTGATGATCACTAGACCCAAGGACCTTGGTGAAGACATCAGCAGTGTTGGCCTGTGTGGCCACGTAAGCAAGACGAAGCTGACATGCTACTGCAGCTCTTGCGTGAGGAAGTAACAGAAAGCAATGTGCTTCGTTCTATGCTCCAGTCTCTAATCCTGATACAAGGCAATCATGGCCTTGTTGTCGACGTATAGAACTGGTGGAGAACAAGGCCGCTCACCCAAGTAGATTTGCAGGTAGGTCAGCCAACGGAGCTCCTGTGCAGCCATAGCCCCAGCGTAGATCTCGACCTCACAGCAAGAACTAAGTACAGAAGAAGAGCGAGTGGACCTCCACGAGACAGAACCAATGCCGAGGCTGAAACTGTACCCCTGTGTCGACCGGCGAGTCGTCTGGTCGTCAGCCCAAGAAGCGTCTGCGTGACCGGTGAGAACAACTGAACCCCGTCCTCCAAGCACAAGCCCCATGCCCGATGTACTGCACAAGTAACGCAATACCCTCTTCGCAACTTCCTAGTGCACCTTTCGGTGTCTACCGGGAGCCACGTAGCCAGCCAAGAGACCGAGAGGGTATGCGAGGTCAGGTCGTCTGCACATCATTAGGTACATGAGGCAACCCACAAGCTCTGGGTACGGACCACTCAGCTCTACGGACTCGTTCGAAGGTGGAGCTGAGAGCGAGTGGCCGTTAGACAGAGGAGTGGGCTGTGGCGAGGACCACGAGAAGCCGAAGCGCTGAAGGACCTACTCCACTATGTGTGACTGAGTGAGGGTGATGGTGCGGCGTGCTCTGTCCCGGGTGATCTGCAAGCCAAGGTAGCTCCGCAATTCACCCAGGTCAGTGCAGATGTATATCTCTTGCAGCTCCGCCTTCACTGAGGCCAGAGCCTCAATGTCAGCATTAGCAAAATCCAACTTGTGAACGTATACGAGAACGTAGAATGGCGGCAAAGAATTGTCGGTGCGTAGAATCAGCGAAGGGTTAGCAGACGAGGGAGCGAAGACAAGAGCCGCAAGTGTTGTCCTTAGTGTCTCGTGCCACTCACGGGGCGCCGTCATAGGTCGTAGGCTGTTCGCTGTAGACTTCACTGGGTACCCTTAGGAAACGACCAAATGAAGCCACATGGGCGGCGCAACCAGATAGCCTCATAAAGGCTGCCCTGCAGAAAGGCCATCGAGAAGTCGAGAGAGTGCAGCTCGTAGTCGCACTGTGCTGCAACGTGCAGTAGCACCCGAAGAGTGGTCATCTTCGGGGTGGGGGAGAAGGTCTAGAAAAAGTCAACCCCCTCACGCTGACTGAAGCCTCGTGCAACGTAACGCGCCTTGAAGGCAGGCGGAGAACCCAGCGGCCGCTTCACCCTGAAAATCCACATACCATCGACTATGTTCGCCTCAGGTGGAGGAACCTCGTCGACGTAGGTGCCTGTGTACTTCCAAGAAGCCATCTATGCGTCCATGGCTATGTGCGACTGAGAGGTGTACGGACCCGTGATCGCCTTTGCGTAAGTGCGCGGGGTCGAGATGTCCAGTGCATCCGGGGCTCCCTCAGGGCAAAGTAGCGTGGACGCGAGATGAGGTGCAGCGGCCGCTACGCACTACAGCTCAAACTGCCTGTCCTCAAGAATATCACAGCCAAGGGCAAGCTCACCCGTGACGGACGGATGACAGGAAGAGTAAAAACAAGACTCGCAGCGTAGTCAAGGCGGCACAAAGCAGCTAAGTCAACAAGCTCAGCAACTAAGGCAGACTCAGCAGCGGACTCGAAGGAAAGGTCAGTCACAACCGTGGCAAGGAGACGAGTAACAATCGGACTGGCAGTACGGACAAGGTCTGACTCACGGTGGAAGAGAAGACGTAGGAGGAGACGGCAGGACAACACGCTGTGGAACATAGGAAGGACGAAGTGCCATGATGTGTGTGCCAGGGACAGGTGGAGGACGAGGACGCACAGCACGGCAAGAAAAGTCAGGCATGACAGGACGCAACGCAGGCTCTCTACGCTCAGTGAAGGACTCTGTCACCCCAGTGTGAGGAGCACGAGCAGGCAGTTGGGAGCCCGGTAGTAGCTGTGGCTAAGACTAGACAGTCGGTGGGAACAGTAGCGGAGGAGTAGAACCAGCAACCGGGAACTCAGTAGCGGCAGGCGAGAGACTGAGAAGGTGATGAAGCACAGACTACAGCGGCTGCGTAGTCGCACCCTCAGATCCTCCAGCTTCGGTAGCAACAGCACCCCAGAACCAGTGCCTCCAACTCCACCATGGGGACTGCCTCAACGGACAGCCCACTCGCGAAGCTGCTGCGGCGAGAACGACTCCTGTCGACTAGCACCACCAACTCCGGTACCTCCAGTAGCACCTCCAGTTCCAGCATCTGTGCCTCCAGTACTAGTACCTCCAACACGGCCAACTCCAAGAACATCAGCACTAGCACCTCCAGGGACAGCACCTCCAGAACCTCCAGTAGCACCTGTGCCTCCAGTACCAGTACCTCCAGCACGGCCAACTCCAGGAACACCAGCACTAGTAACTCCCGGGCCATCACCTCCAAAACATGCAGCTCCAGCACGTCCAGCGCCACCACCAGGACTGCCCACAGCAACACCCACAGCAGCCGCACCTCCAGTACCTCCAGTTGCACCAGTAGTCCCAGCACCTCCAGCTCTAGCTGTGCGAGCACGGCTAGCTCCACCACCAGGCCCGCCCCACTGTACAACGCACTCGCGAAGCCGCTCCAGCGAGAGAGTCTCCTGCCGCCATGCACCACTGCTACCAGCACTAGCAGCCCCAGTACCACCAGTAGCAGAATCTCCAGCTCCAGCAGTCCCAGAACCTCCAGCTCCAACAGTCCCAGTACCTCCCGCTCGAAGACGGCTAGCTCCACCACACGGGCTGCCCCACTGGACAGCCCACTCGCGAAGCCTCTCCGGCGAGAGAGCCTCCCGCCAACTCGTACCAGGACCACCAGCACTAGCACCTCCAGTACCTCTTGTACCAAGAGGACACTCAGCACCCCCAGGCCTAGCACCCCCAGAGTCCGCACCCCTAGTGGCACCACCGCCTGCAACCCCAGAGTCCACAGCGACAAGCTGCAACGGCGGTGAAGTCGGTCGAGGCGGAAACCAAGGAGGGACCGCCAAGCGCGTGGAGCGGCGAGGGGTCACGGTGACAGCAGGAGTCGGGTCACCCCCCTCACCTGGACTAGAGGTGTCAAAGGAGACCTCGGCTGGCTCAACCAAGGGGGACGAGTCAACCTGAGATACACCTAAGGGAGCAGGATCCTGCAGGGGAGTGGGGCTACCCGGGGGGGGGGGTGGTTGGAGACCAGTGCGAGAGGCGGGAGGGGCACGGTGGAACCGCGGCGGGGGTGAAGACGGTAGAAGTAGACAGACTGGTCAAAATTGACGTCCTGGGAGGAGGGGACATGACGAGAACCAGGGTGGTAAAACTGCCAACCCCGGGCGTCGGTAGGGAAGCCAAGGAAGAAGCAGCAAAGAGTGCGGGGAGAGAGCTTCCCCGCCGGGGGGTCGCGAACAAGCGAAAGGACACCTCAGACCCGAAACGCCGACGCATCACCAACCTCACCCGTCCACCACAGAGTGGGAGAGGTCTCCGGGTGGGAGATACGGGGCCAGAGGTTGAGTTGCTCAGCAGCGTATCGGATTGCAAACGGCCACAGGAAATGGGGAGCAGCCGCATGGATGTTGGAGGTGCGAGCAACCTCAATCACCAAGCCAAAGCGGCGCTCTGCAACCCCATTCTGCTGCGGAGAGGCCGGAAGCGTGAACGTCTGGTAGATGCCCTCAGCACCACAGAAGTCCTTGAGGAGGCCGGAGGAAAACTCACCACCTCGGTCAGAGTGCAGTCGCATGACCGGGAGTTCGTGCTGAAACCGAGAGCTGAGCTGGCGACGGACAGCACGGATCCAGCGGATTAGGACTCTGCGGACCTCCGCCTTGCTCTGCAAGGGGAAGACCTTGGTGTAGCGCGTATAGTCTTCTACAACCAGCAAGAAGTAGCGCTCTCGGCCCTGCCCAGGGACTCGGGCTGGACCCCACACATCCATGTGGAGGGTTTGCAGAGGAGCTGTGGTCGGAGGAAACGAGGAGTGAGGAGCGGCGCGCTGCCGCCCCTCGATGCAGGGAAGGCGCGGCGGCGCAAGTAACCTTGGGAGCGGGGGTAGGGACCTGGGAAGCCCAGAGACAACGACTCGGGAGTGCATGCCACGAAGGCGTGGCAAGGAGGGGTGGCCAAGACGGTGGTGCCAGAGGAGAGTCTGGTGCGTGAGGAGACAACACGAGCAAGACGTAGTGACCTCAACCGACGCAGCTACTTGACCTGACTCAGCTACCAATGCAGACTCAGTGGTCAGTGTATACATGCCATACCCAGGCCTCCGAGTCAATGTAGCAAGGTTGCCACCAGTCCGCGAATCCGTGCAGATTGCCACGAGCTCGCCTCCAGGCTGGGTGACAGTGACCTACTGGTCCTGGAGGACAGAGGTATCCACCAAGTTCTTAGCGAACAAGGGGAGGTGGAGGTATGTGAGGAGGCTGG